GCAAACGAGACTGACAACAATTTGTTTTCACCTTTAAAAAAGTTACTCTGCTTAAAGCCAATCAATAAATAAACAATATATTACTTGATAACAAATCTGATATAAAATGTTATCTTTCTCTCCCCTGCAACAAACCAAAACAGCTCAGAATAACTGTAATTCTTATAGAAAACCATCTGATCACTATTTTTGCTACCCTCATTCCTTATATTTTATAATACCTTCAATTTCTACAGCATTTTAAAGTTTTAAAGTATATTCACATTTTATATGATGCCTAGAATAACCTTATCATATATATTCCACCACTTTTTTATAAGTAACAAAATAAGCTCTGATTGGCTAAATGACTTAGTGAAGGTTTCACAGAAAAAAAAATGTATTTTAATTTCTGAATACCAAGGTCAAGGTCTCGGTGCAGTTCACTTTAATTATGCACGAGTTCAAGTCTGGTCATAAGATCAGAAAAAAATACTGTGATTGGAAGAGAGAAAATTCAATAAAGAACTATATATGGGTTTCATCTCATGGAGTGGGCCTTAAGTCAAATTAGACATTGGTTGGCTACACTGACAAGCTTTGTGCCATTATTGCCCTAGCATATTTTGTAGGCTGGACAGCATTGTAAATCAAAGAGTTTTTGTCTGGGTTGGTATTTATGCTCCTCTTTTGGTAGCCAACAGAGTACCTTACAGTACCAGAGACACAAGAATGTAGGGGAGAAAGTTCTATGTAGTACCAGCCTGATGAGTTGTGTGGATATTGTCTTCCACAGTGGGCCTTTACTGTCAGTTTATGGAGAGCAAACACTTGTCTTAGAAACATCCTGGGTTGTTTGGCTATTACCATGGGGTATCCTTTGGACAATTGTATGTAACCCAGTCCTGGTACTAGAAACTTCATTTGATGACAGGAGATGGCTAGTTGGGAATCCATTCTTCCATTACTTGGAGACTTCGTTATGATTGCCATAATATATTTTAGGATATTTCTACTGCACTAGGTTTCCATACCACCCCTCAAATGCCCCTAAGTTCTAGCTGTATCTCCCAACATTCCCTCCATCAACTCCTTCTTTCCTCCCTCTCCCCATCTGATCCTCCCATTCCACCCCCCCATAAAATCAATATTATATTCTATCCTTCCCCAAGGTAGATCTATGTGTCTTCCCTAGTCCCTTCCTCTATATCTAACTTCTCTGGGTCTCCAGATTCTAACTTGATTATAATTTTCTTACTGGTTAATATCCACATGTAAATGAAGACATGCCATATTGTCTTTTGGGGTCTAGGTAAGAGAGGAGAGCAATAAGAATACATTATATACATGTATGTAATTTGCAATTTAATAAATGAAATTAAAAATAGCTATACAAAGACTTCTGTACATGTTAAATCAGGTCAAAAAGATGTAAAATTTGTTGCAGAAACACAAAATGACATGTTTATCTTGATACAAAGAAGCATTTGATAAAATCTTAAATTCTTAACAAAAATTCTTGGTTAAGTAGGGGGAAAGTATTCAAATTTTAACAAATAATTTTTTATGCTCTCATCTTATAAATAAGACATATAATAATCGTTTTGCCACTTTTCTGCATAACTCACAGTACTTCAAGGGGGGCATGTGCCCACCCACACCAGGTGGACTTATTTAGCAGGCTAGCTTCAGAAAACTATCTTTGTTGTCCTTCTGGGGTTTGTTGCTGTTATTAGGTTTGAGATGATAATTACAAGATTTGTCCCTTTACTTTTCGCCCTGTGAACCCTCCCATGTACCCCCACGCTGTCCTTCGATTCATGTCTTCTTTCTTCACTAATTGTTAGTGCATGCTTGTAAGTATATGCACACACAAATATATTCTTAAATATAATACATTCAGTCTGAAGGGGCGAGGAGTATTAAGGGGGAAGGGAATGGGAGATAGAGCTTGGTGGTACAGCACTTACCTAGCATGTTAAATGTGAAACTTAATATTGATATACATATATATTGATATATATTATCAGTACTGCAATGAATTTACAACATATATAACTCTGTGTGTGTGTGTATGTGTGTGTGTGTGTGTGTGTGTGTGTGTGTGTGTAGTAAATGAAGGTAGGATAGAAAAGAGACTACTAAAGAACACAAAAATAACCACTAGCTACAGGGCTATAAGATAGCATTTAAATCCAAGTAGGGATAAGTTAGAACACCCAGCCCTTTGCCCTCACCTCCCACCCTGATAAGGCACAACATCATATAGTTAGATCAGACCAATGATACATGTCATGGCTCATGTAATGGTCAAGATATTTGTTGAGATGTCACATAGTTGGTGACAGCATACCAGTTGCACCCCAGGAAAAAGTTACGGAAAAAGCCACTGACAGTCCAGGAGACTTGGTAAGATCATGAAAGCTTACTGAATTCTTCATACCACTGGCTAGAAAGCCCACCACATCCTAAAGCAAACAAGAAAAGCATCTGAACCACTCTAGGACCTTCCAGGGACAAAGCCTAGCATCATGTCAATTGGTAACTAAGTGCCTTAGCTTTTTGTTGCTATGATAGAGCACTTTGACAAAAAGCAAGTTGGGGAGGATTCCTCTTCCAGACAGACTTAACTACTTGTGTCAAGTTGACAAAAACAAAACTAAACAAAAAAAACAACAAAAATAAAAACAAAATAAAAAGCAAACACAACAAAAAACTAGGATGATAAGAGAGAAGTGTTTGAAGATTCTGATGCGTCAGATTCTACTATCAGGATACAAGGCAAAATAGGGGCACCAGGGAGCTGAAGAGCCCTAGCTAACTGACACAGATAGATGTCCAGAACTCTTCAGGCTTAAGCGTGATGTGAGTTTCTTACAGAAAACAGCTACTCCTTGTTGTTGCTGTTTTCCTTTTCTCCCACAAAAGGAGGAGACCTAAGCATGCCATACTGAGTCATCACATGGCATGACACAAGGCAAAATATATGGGTGGGAGGGACAAGTCCAATGCAGTGACAGAGTGAAGGTGTGATGACAAGCCCAGGGTCCGAATGGATGGGATTATTGTCACATTAGTTAGATGCAGCTTGATAAACTCCATCTCTGTGTGCCTCCTTTTCCTCACCTGTAAAGAAATGCATACAATAAACGTAGTAGAAGAATATACACATAATATACAGTTAGAACTTCAAGTATTAGGGTGCACATTGACAGTAGTTTGTAACTGGTGTTAAGCAAATGCAAATTTTGCTTACTATCACTTTTCAAGTAGAATGGTGCTTTTATAATCCCTAGCCAAACTTTGGGTGAGACTGGGCTCTGCATGGAAATCTCCCCGACTCCTGAGCACTCTAGCCCAGACTGGACCCCCCCACCAGACAGAGTCAACTTACAGGAGACACATTTTCTCTCATGGAAAAAGAAACAAAGTTAAGCAAATGTATCTTTTCAAAAAGATCTTCAATTCTGATCTCATTTGTTGTCCTTTCCACCGGGTGGGGATGGGGGTAGCAAAAACTGAGTGAAGGAAAGAGGAAAGAAACTGCTCTTCACAGTCAAGCAACTTACATGCCTCACCTGAGTTCTCTCCCTCACTGCATCGTGCCCCAATTAGTACTGTTGGTCATATTTAAAAAGAAGCAAACCAAGAAAGGTCGAACAGGTTGCTAAATACTGCATTCTTGGAAAGCAGCAGAGCCTGGGTTCAAACCCCCTCGTTTCTGTTTGGGTCCTGGAAGCTTTTTGGGCTGCTCAGCTTCCCTCCCACACTCCATCTCAGACATCTTAACTGCTGCAGATTTACAAAGATGAGTGGGTGAATGACTGGCTGCCCCCCCCCCCGCTTTCTTCTTTGTCTGAAACGTATTGTTCCAAAGTTAAGCAAATGAAATTTAAACAACAGGAACTTGAAAAGAACACTCAGTGTCTCACTGGGGAAGTCAGCAGCCCTCAGCCCCTGTGCCCCGTTTTTCTATATTTTTGTTTTTTGCTCTCTTCCTGGCTGTAAATTTGGAGACAGGAAAGGAAAGGAGCTAGATGGGGTTCAGTGAGCTGAGTTCCTGCCCCACCGAGAGCCCTCTTGCCTTTCCCATAGTGAGTATGTGGGGATTGGGAGTGGAGAGGAGGGGCTTGCTTGTCTGATTATTGATTATCATAAGGTTTAGTTCCTAGGTACAGGTACAAGCTTGACTCCTGTCCAGGTTAAACCGTCCATTTCTACATGTAGGCTCTCACTCCAAGTATCTCAACTCCTCCTAATCGACCCTCTCCACTTTTCAGCTAGGGCAGGTGCAGTCTCTCTTGCCTCCATTCAACCATCTTAAGTTTCTCTCCCAGGGGACTCGTGGACTTGGTCGGCAGATGCTGTTTCACCTTCTTCCTGCAGTCAGGACGATCAGGCTCCTTCCTCTAACTTTCCGTTGTCGGAGGGGGACTGCTGAGAACGTCGCGAAGAATGTAAGACTGTAAAAGTCAAGCGAGCCAACAGTGAAGTCTAGCTCTAGCTGCCAGGCCCCTCTGCAGTCCCATGCTAGAACCTCCAACTCCAGCTTTCTGGTGGCGGGATCAGCCGCAGCAGCCTGGCGCCTCCGCCGCCGCCGCCGCCCCCGCTGGGCCCCCCCCCCCCCCCCCCGGCCCGCCCGCCCCCGCCCCTGCTCTCTGCCCGGCCCCGCCTCCGGCCTCTCGGCCCCGCCCCTGCTCTCTGCTCGGCCCCGCCTCCGGCCTCTCGGCCCCGCCCCTGCTCCCCG